ATATATATATATATATATATATATATATATATATATATATATATATATGTATATGTACATATACGACCGGGGGAAACATACTTTAAACATTATTATATAGTTATACACGTATATTTGTATAATACAGTTTAACGGAGGTTGTTTAACAAGTCCTCTCGAATTGCGTATCGTACTGTTATAATTAATTTTATCGCGGTATCGTTACATTGTACAATATATAAATTTTAAATAGAACTGTGTGTGTATACATACGTATGTACACACAAGAGACACCCACACACATACATACACACGCGCGCGCGCGCACACGTACGCATACACCGGAAAAGAAAAGAAAACGGGAGATTGCATCGTGCATACACGACTGGACGTATGCATATATGTGGATATATATGTATAAAAATTAATAATTATAATGTAATAGTATATATAAAAATAACAATACAATATTATAGTCGTGCGTTACGTCTAGCTGATAATCGCGAGAATAAAGGAAAGTAATTCATATAGTGCCATCATAACTGACTAATTAAGGGTATACCGATTTTACGTTTTAAGTATAATAGAGAATATTTGAGAAAGAAATACTTACAATGTTGAAGACAAAGACTCGGTTTATGTTTGTAATGATAATTATAATGTTTGCCAAGTTTGTTACGTAAGATACGAAGCCATTGAGAAATTTTATGCGCTGAAATTCTTAAAGACATATTTTGTCCTCTCTTTATGCACATTCAACGTCACACGAGTACACCACTTAAGTACACGAACACTTGGTTCTTCGCGTCCGTGGGAAAACAGTCCGCGGAATGATGCCGGAATTATAAGAGAAAACAGCAAAAGGAAAAAAAAAAGAAAGAAAGAAAGCAAGGAAAGCTCCTCTACGTTTGTACGTATATACCTTTTTGGTGCTCGACATACCCGATTTATTGTTATACGTTATTATTACCGATCTGTACGACCATTACTACCATATTGCCTATTATCGGTCAGTATAATCATCTCGTCGGAGTTAGCGATAAATAATGATTATTTGATAACGCTCTATGTACATCATACATACACACACATACACATACATACATACATGCATACGACATTGTAAAACACGTACACATTGTGGTTATATTTCAGTGTATCAGCATAATGATATATGATTATTACGATGTTGCCCATAGAATACATTTTACTTGGTTTTTACATTTTGGCAGTATTTTATTTTAGTATTATTCCATCCACCTGTATAGCTTCGCGCATCAGCGCCCGACTTCTTGTGTGGACTTCTTGTAGTACACGTGTAATCGCGTTTCGTTTTTCATCGTTTTGTCTCGCGTCGTTTTCTTTTATGTACTCGCTGCGGAGACCTGAGATCGTTTTGCGGAATCGTCGCCGTTGCTCGCATGCCCCTGTGCTGTGTCGCTCGCGTTTAACACTCCTGTCGTCCGACAATGCAATTTGTGTAGTCCTTCCGATCTCGTGCGTTACGATCGACGCTCATTGTGAACTAGTTACGCTGAAAACGTGTCATTGTTCACCACTTCTCTCATCACGCTGATTATCATCCGAATTGTGTTCTCTTCTCTAGACGATTAATTGTACAACGTTGTTAACGTCGTCATTAGGATCGCTATGTTATGCCGATTTTTATTGTTACGTTTTATCGAGTCTTTCAGTGACACATACACACACATACACATACACACCTATACATACGATTAGCTCGCTTATTGAAGTGACTTTATTACACACTCGGAAAATTATAGCGCACTATCATTTCTATAAGCAATAACCGAAAAGAAAAAGAAATATTTAACACGAGAGGTAATAATTGTAAAATCAATAGTCAATACTGCGTGTGATGATGACTAGTATACTGTACGCCATGTCCGGGCTGTCTCGATAGCGCTAATTTAATTTATATTAACGAAAGAGGAAGAAACGCGTAAGACTAACGATACGTTTCTTTCGAGAAGTCAATCTCCCGTCGTTACGTTCTCCCATTGACGTTCACAATCGTTGTTCGATTGCAACAATTGTGCATATTATCCGGAAGAGGAAAGAAAAGGGAGCAGGTGCGTTTGAGAATGCGTTTGTTCGTGTTCGTTCGTTCGTATATGTTGTGCAGTCTCCGGGAATGCGATATTTTTTTAACGTACATTCTTGTAAGTCTTTGTAAACTGCGATATTCTTGTAATACACGGCGCCTCGTTTCAAGCGAGTTCCGATCGGAGGGCACGCGAGACGTGATTTCAGAGGTGATTTCTATATCGTTCGTGTCGGGTAACGAACATGATAGCTGTGTACCTGGGAGACAAAGATCGGCTACGCGCGATCGCGAGAGACCAAAATTCATTGCGAGCGAAAAACTTTGCGAAAACGCGAGAGTCATCGGCCACATGTGTTTCGAGACGTTGATACACCGCGTTTCTGCGAACAGACACGTGTTGATCTACAGTGATGGAAATAATTGCTGATTACACACACCGGTGCTTCTTCGAGTTCGCCGGATGCGAACAACTTTCGTTGAAATTGAATTTCTTCTTGCCTTGTTTTTTTCTTTTTTTTCTTTTCTTCTCGAATTCTCTACGTTGTCGCCTCCTCTATGCGTCAGTGATGATTTTTTAATCGTAAAAATTCGACGTGAAAAGATTGTGTCTCTCCTGTACTTAAATTCGTGGGGCGCAATGTGACTTTCACTCGTGAAAAATGTCACGGAGGAGGTCGCGCGCGCTTTATATTATCACGTCGCCGCGAATTAAGCGTGAAGAATTTTCTCTTCTGTTGTGTCGCTCCACGACGGAGTTAATCTCGATTATCGATCTATGTTAATGACTTCCGCATTGTACATATACTGTGTGTCCTTCGTTCTTTGACTTATCCTCTCTTCTCTGGACGATCATTTTTAGCTACGTGTTCTAAACTTTAGGGATCTCGACCACGCTGTGCACATACACGTATATATATACACACACAAATACACACAAACACAAAAATAAAAAAAAAGTCGGTATGTTATTCAGTGTAGCACAACTGGTTCCGCACTGAATACCAATCTTCATTGTGACGTCCACTAATGTAATTTTTGCAACGATTGTAAACACGTAAGATAGACAGAGGATGTTAATTAAGTCCTGTCGAAAAGGAGGAGGACTATAGACAACAAGTGCGACTATAGACATATCTCGTCGATATCTTAAAGTATTGCGGGTACTTAGATACGCGAATTTTCCTGAGAGTGTGTCCAAAAGTGAGAGAGCGAAATACAGGGAGAGTTAAGGAAAAGGGAGCGCGTCCGTTTGCGAAAGCATTTCGTGCTCGCGCTAATGAGAGAAAAAAATGGAGAAACGTCTGACGCTCGGTTACTCGTGTTGGCGTATTTTGCATACCCACTACGAGTGATAGTTCCATTTGTACCCGAGTAACGCGAGAGTACAAAAGACGCCCTCAATCAGTACGATTTTTTGCGATCTTCTCTTAGACGAAGGGACGTTCGCGGATGTCTCTTCTTTGCGTCGCATTGTATCGTCTGGGCCCTCCTTCCTTGTATAAGATTATAGTTAGCGCCATAATTTACAGAAAGGTAAAAAGGCAGCAATCCAGAATTAATGCCTGATGTATTCGACGATACGCACTTGTCTCTCGACTTATGCAACAACACTTTACGCGGCATGTTAAAAGAGTCTCCTCAGCAATATATGTTAGATTAAGTTAAACGTGTTGATGATAAATATGTATGACAAAAAGTGACGGTGACGTTTTTTCGATCTGTTTACATTACTTTGTGCAATTTTGTGCCGCGAATTGCGAGGATAACATCACTCGGAGGAGAGAGCGAGGTGTGTATCGTTCAAGTGTGCTGCGAGTCGCGAAATGTCGCTGGGAGGACATTTCCTTTTTATTCCTCTTTTTCTGGAAATCTTCGGGGAGCGCTCTATCTTACGTGCGTACGACCGTGTGTCTATCCTCTGTAGAAATGCCTTATTATCTCGTGCCTCAATTAATATTTAAACTGTTCACCTGCTTATACCTATTACTCGTTAGTCTATGTAACGAATATATATATATGTAATATCGAGTTACTCTTTGTACTGCTCTTGTAAATATATTCTGAAGAATTAATGTCACCCTGTCGTGTCTATATACTATACTCTGTACATGCTGTACGTCTCTATAAGTACTTTCCAAATCACATAAATGGTCCCTTCTACTGCCTCTATCTCTCTTTCTCGTTAACGAACCACCCTGTAAAAAATAACCGAATTAAAAGAGAATCTTTCATCGTTTATTAATCATCTTCTTGATTTGTGCAAATTGCAATACAATCTGTTTTTACTAAATTATTAGTATATTTGGTTTTTGTATCAAAGGAAGAAACATTGCTGTTTGCAAAATTGTTGAAAGTGTTCTTTTTTTTATTTTTATCTATTAATTTTAACTGTGTAAAATTTTCATTGTGATCAATGAAACAACAAAGTTAAAAGGAAGATACCTTCGACGGAATTCATTAACGTTTACATAGATTTTCCATACCGCCTGATCTCGAAGAGAGACTACAAATTTAATGGTTCCGTTTGATTTCGTGCGATTCTTTTTAATTCATTAATTTTTACAGGGTCGTAGTCTTTGTTTCATCGCAAACTGTCTTCATATCGCATGCCTGTACGTAATTTCCTTGTAACATCGCTTTTACACACGTTGCAGTCGTTGCTCCGCGTAGATAAACTTATTTTGCATATCCGTTTCTGACTGTGAGAAAGACATACGAAAATTTATGGCTTTATTGTGTGAAAAATTAATTGCAGGTAATGCGATATTATTTACTTTATCCTCAATCAAATATATGTATATGTTCAGGAAGACATACTTAATGCCACTATATGTATTATGCAATATTTTTTTATATAAACGCACACAATAATAGACATTTTAAATTAAAATATCATCAATATAAAAAATAGTTTATAGAAATATTTTGAAGAAAGTTTCAACCTATCAAAGTCATATAAATATATACTAAACAAGCAATATATGCAGATTTAACCTTCAAAATATATATAATAATATATAAAAATAACTTATTTTATTATTGTATAGTCATTTAACAATAATACAATTCTATTATTTATAATTAATCACTAAATTCTATTATTTATAACTTATTTTATATAAATTTACAAATTTATATAAGTTTGCAAATTTAAATAAATGACAATTTATCGTTGACTTGTGTCACGAGGTCTATACGCTATCCCTCTACTCTTTAGTTCTCTGATGACACCAGCTGGCAATCGTCCTGATACAGATATGGCATAGACACCTTTACAAAAGCGATCTGAAAATAATAAAATTTTTATTGATATTGGCTGATTAAAATAATTAGATTCAGTGCTTAGAAAATGAATTGCACAACTATATTACAAGAATAATTATCAAACATTATGTAATATTAGTATAATAATATTAAATCATGAAACAATAGAAGAAACTATAACAGCATTTTTTAGTATTTTTTTCAAATAAAATAAAATGAAGAAATTGAAGGTTATGTTTATAATACTCATATAGGAAAACTTAATGTTATCGTATACATAATACTTTATCGTATATATAATATTTACTTATTCTTTGCCACTTGCAAACCCAGCTATCTTCTGCACTCATTACTGCAATCATTCTGAAAAAAAGAATAGAATGAATAAATAAATCGAACAAAATAAGCAAAGTAGACAAATTCATAAATTTTAGAATAAAAGAGAAATTTAGAACAGAGACTTTTTTCCATTGGTCTTTTCTGTATTTGACTAATGTGTAAGTAAAAAAAACTACTAATTTTTTATTATTACTAATATTATTTTTTAATGTGTCTTAAAATCGACTTTTGAAGAATTGTATATTTACCCATCAAAATTGGAACTCGTACAATCAAAAACATTGTCTTTATTGTTTTTCATCCTTAGAAATTCATCGCAGTTATCACAACCATCAAATTCAAACTGGTCAAAGGTCTGTGAAGCAGAATTATGATAAATTATTATAATTACAGTCTAAACAAATTCTATATATATCGTAATTAACTAAAATATGTTATATGCAAGAGAACTGATGAAATACATACCTTAATTAAGGAGCATACTAAACATGCTCTAAGTCCACGTAAATCTTTCGGCACGATTTCTATAGACATTGTTCACGTGCGACAATATATTATTACAAATTATAAATAATTTCACCGTGATATCGTTCTTCTTTCCTTCAATACTTGGCTACCGTGATATCGTTAAAAATAAAATTGTAAGCACATGAGCTTGTGTCGAATAACTCTCCGTGTTATACTATAAACCACATCTGTGATCACTCTGCGACGACTGGTGACTACTGAAATCAGAATGGCTGCGGCCATGATGTAAATGATGGCTGCGTTCCGAAATTCACTGCCAGTACTGAAAATCTATAGTTCATGTCATGTATACTATAGAATTTTAGTACTGGCAGTGAATTTTGGAATGCAACCATAAAGATGTTTATTTTAACCGTATATGTTAATTTTAACCGTAACCGTAAGGTCGTAAGAAAACTGACCAATCACAGTCGATTATTCTTCGAACGCAAAGAGAATAATCAACTCTGATTGGTCAGTTTTCTTACGACCTTACGGTTACGGTTAAAATTTTTCTACGTACAAAGGCCTTTACTAATATGTATTTAAACTTAAAATCTGTAATATATATATATATATATATATATATATATA